AGTAAACCAGAAATACATGTTACATATATTCAGTTTATATGTCATCTTTGCAAGAACTGTTATTAGTCACACGTAAATGGGGCATAATAGGTGTCGCTGCTTTATGTAATTTACTAATTACGCAATGAGTCTACTTGGAAGTTTGCGGTAACAACGAGAAAATGATGACAGTTTTCCGGCGTTTTAGAAAGAATCCGAATTAATTAATTATGATAATTGCGTTTACCACACAAATCATCCAGCAAATTAAATTTTGCGTACGACTGAAGACAATTACCAATTAAGACTAGTTTACCAGACGTTAATTCATTTGAAGTTTTGTTTCAATTGGATTATTTTTTTCAACTACATAATTTAACTTAAAATCTAAAGAATATTGGACGAAATTTTTTATATTTTAGATTATAATTATGAAACACAAAATGGATAAACTTGTTCATTTTTTGCATACATCTTGTATCAAGTGAGCATTAAGAATCTTAAGTATATTAAGTATAGATTATGGAATTTGTGGTCAATCTTGGACAAAATTTAAATGTCATTTGTCTTTACTTCATTCATCAAAGTATTTGTAAAAAAAAACTGTTTCTTTCAAAAGATTATGATTGTATTAAGTGATTATTAAGATTATCAAGTATAAATCAATAATAATAGTTCATAGAAAGTGTGGTTAATCTTACATAACACCTCAGTGTTTTTTTGTGTTTATAATAGTTTTTATATATTTACTCAGATGAGATATTAGTAAATGAAAATCTTGATTTATCTTTACACAAGGTTAGTATCCTGAGTAGATTTTTAATAAAAGCTCATTGCCATTTATATTTACTATAAACTCCATATATTTTTCTAAATAAGAATTTCGTCTTTTTAGGTAACCCAACATAATCGTTTCTAGTGTAGTACTGCATCCTGATTGCTAATTATTTTACATAATTTTGACACATGGTGACAGCTGTCATTTCGCGACTCAAATATTTGTTTGTAATGGTACATCGACTCAATTGCTAAGAGTATATGACCAGTTCCTCGTTTTGACAGCTGTCATTTCCTGACTTATTAAATACGTAACACAACCTATAGGTTAAGAAACGTTGATATAAAGTATAGCAATATTGAATAATCATGAGATTTCCTTCTATATTGATCATTTAATGTAATTGTAAATTTTGTAATATTCCATGGATTTTAATCTAATTACGATAATTACACCCGAATAGCGTAACAAGAAAAAAACGCTAGATATTTATCGGATCAAGTTATTAAGTGCGGATCGATGGTAATGGCTTATTGAAATTGCAGCTAATCTTCTAATAAAAGCCTCGAGCAATTTTCGCTCATCAGCGCGGATGGAAATTACGAAACAAAGCGCAAAAAAAAAATCACAAACATACACGCAAACGAAAAAAAAAAACGTTTATTTACATGGGTACATTATTATCTGTAGGCTAGATAAGACCACTAGGTTTTCATATATATATAAAAACGAAGTTCGTGTTATGCGTGTAGTTGCTGTTGTTACATATTTTTCTGAACGACTATGTCACGTCTAATATCATGGATAGCCTCGCACAAAGTGCTGATCATGTTTATACTGATCTCAATTTTTTTCTTTGCCTCGACCGTAGTTTTGGCTCTTCAGAATCTCAACCTCAGAGACGATCTGTACGACTGCGAAGAACTCCATCTTCAAACCGAGCAGATCCCAGCGACCCCAACAAGCACTATGGACGTGCGGAAATTTAGATTGCCGGAGGGCGTCAAACCCACCACCTACGATCTCACCTTGAAGCCTAGGTTAACTGAAGGCATCTTCGATGGTACCGTGAAGATTACAGTGGATGTGAAACAATCCGTGCCGGACATTCGTCTACATTCCAACGGTCTCAGTATTAAATCAGTTAAAGTTAACTCGGAAGAGGTGAAGTTTCATTTGGAACCGGAATACGAGCTGCTGATCGTCGAGAAACCGTCGGAAATGAACGCAAAAGTTGAGATGTCCATTGAGTTTTCGGGAAGTATGTTGGATAGGATCGTCGGCCTTTACAGCAGCACCTACAAAAGCGGCGGTAAATCCAGGTGAGTTACGCAATTTCATTTCTTATTTTTGTCTCCTATTTGCACAATCTACTTTCTAAACTACTGAAACGCGGAAAACGAGGAAGTCGTCGATTCGTTTTATACTTCTTCCTCTGCTCTTGTTTCGGACGAGCAGAACGTACATATTTTATTTCTTTCTTTCTCTCTATATAGAAGAGACGTATATTCATTGGGAAGGAAAGTGAAATTGTTGAAAGTTTCTAATTCCGATTCAGTCACGAAAATAAAAATAAAAACAAAACGGGAATAAAAATAAGGTTTTTTTTTAAATTTTATTGCCGCAACGTGCGTCGACAACTGTTCTTTATTTCTATTGGAATTAGTTTTGTTCATGCCGATTAAAACGATAATTACAAAACGGAAAACAATACGTTTTTATGATGATAAAAGAAAATCTGCGTTGGAATTTCTATAATTTCAAGGCGCACCAGAAAACTATTAACAAGTTTTCAGAATCTTAATATAAATATAAATACAGCAATTCTTTGTATAGTTTAAAACCGGACTGATCGAAGCCGCACTATGCGAGGTATTGCTGTATACAAAAACAAACGTAAATTGGATACATTTTACTATTAGCAGTTTTTAAATAATTCAATTAAACTTTTATTATTAATTAAATGTTCACTGCTTACATTTATATAAAATTTCACATATTTCTGTATTTAGTACTAATTTTAATTGGTTTATAATCTTACATATACGTCCTGTTCTCTTATCTCTCTGAAATTGCTTTATCCAAAGTGGATCTTTTCAATTAAATTCGTTTTTAATTGTTTTTTTCTAATTGCACTTCATCGATGTTATTTTCTGGCTACAACTCGTGTAAAATTGATTAAGTATTGTTTGATAATTTCAATTTTTACATTGTTTACTATCATATCTAACAAAACTAACTCTATAAACTTCGAGTCAAAACTTTTGGCATAAGCTTTCAAAGTAAACTTTGCTCTTTAGTTTAATTATTACAGAAAACTAAAAACTAAAAAGATCTTCAATTTAATTTAGAATGAATTTTTAATGAATTTTCAATCTATCTGCCATGAAATAATATTAACAAAACAATTAAGTTTTATAAAAACGATGATTAATTAACTAATAATAAATATTTGTTATTTTACTCTTTGTATTCAATGGAAACGATGACACACGATAATTCATTAATAAGCGTTTATTCATTGAAAAAATACGTTTTTAGTTGTTGTTGTAAACAATTTCTTTCATTTCCTGGAGAAAGTGGATAAAAAAAGGCAAACAAACATCATTGTTGTAGTTTTAATTGTATGCAGTGAGTAGTGTAGCAAATGACGATGAGATATAAACAATGGTTTATAAATTAACAATTTTCATAGTTAATTGTTACAATAATTAAAGTATGAAAAAAATTGGTAATTGTATAAAGCAATTGAAATTTGTATAAATACATTTAAAATGCGAAAAGATTGTGTTTTATTAAATTTTATATGTTCAATCACTTTTAGGATTAGAGTAATGAACAGTTACGAAACATTCTCTTTCGTGTTAAGAGTGCACTCTTTTAGGTCATCAAATGGTTCGACGTAACGGTTCATATTATTTTAAGTGTGTGAATATAACAATATCTCGATGGAATTTCAATCTCAACCTTCTTTGAACATTCAGATTTTTCATATAAATGAATACATAATAATAATAATAATTTGTTTGTACTAAAAAAAAGTAATCTAAAATATTTTAGAGTATTTAGACTATAATTCACGCAATGAAGGAATGCAAGTATGCAAGCTCATACTTAAATATCAATTAACGTTCCAATATAAAAAAATATGTGATACGTATTAAATATTACGTTGTTGTTAAGTGTAATAGTTTATGTCTAATCAATAACAAATAAAAATTATGTTGCAAAGTTCAAAATTGAATAAAAAAACGTTTGAACATTAATCAAATAATTTCATATACATTTTGAGGAATGTTTTCAACAGTTATGTAATAAATTTTCATTATAAATCTATTTTTTTTTTGTTGTTATTTAAAGAAAACTTGCTTTTTATCAAATTTATTGAAATAAGATTTGAAAATGAAGATATATAAATTAAAATATGTTGAATTTGAGTTATCGAAAGTTGGAAACTAATAGTTTTCTATAATTTTGAAAGAAAACTTATTTTTGTTTTATGAAATTCATCATCATTTTTGTGGAAAGTTTTCAAAGATTTTGTGACAATGTTTGACTAAATTTACAAACATAAAATGTTTATTAGAAAGAAATGAAGTTGAAATCCAACTGAATTTTTCTGATCATTGAAATTGTATAAGTTTTGTCCACGAAAAGAAGGGAAGATGTTTTACTAAGTTTTAAAACTGTATAAGTTTTGACTATGAGAATGATGAGATGAAGATATGAAATCCAATAGGATTTTTCGTGTTTAACTAAATTTAAAAAATAAAGTTTTGTTTATAAAAAAAGTAATGATTCAACTGTATTTTCAAACTGGATGAGTTTTGTTCATATAGAAATTATTGTTGTTCATGATTCTTTCTCAGTGAATACAACTGGATTTTTCTGTTAGTGTTTATCGAAATTTTTGAAACTGGATGTGTTTCGTTCGTGAGAAAGATACGAATGCGGTCTACAACAAGTTCGAGATACCGTTACGTCGTCTGGTGCATCCAAAAAACCGTCCGAATTCCCTTGCACCGTAATCGGGTTTGAGTATAATTACTTAACTTGCGTTCAAGTGATATCTGCCAACACGAGGGTTATTATCAAGAGAGTTCAATTATACTTCCCACTCTTTCTCTCCTTCTCTCTCTCTTTTTCCCTCTTTCCAATCCCGCAATTGACCTCTCTCTCGCTCGGCGATAATTGATGAAAGTAAAATGCGGCGCATATGATAATTCTCTTGGGTTTAGTCATCGCGCAGAGGTCGAGGCGGTAACAGTAAAAACAATATCGTAAAGAAAACCGCGCTCCTTCATAAATATAGAATGATCCTGATAGATCGAATCTTCTGTTAGTACTTTGTTGTTTTCTTTGAAAGTAAAGTTTTTGAAGATGCCCGAGCAACAGCAGATCAGAGTCAAGCGGAAGACGCGACACTGTCAGCACTTCCTCCTGAGCTGCTGCCTCTTCTTCGCGATTCTGTGCGCCTGTTTGACAGCCGCGTTGGTGCTCGTTGGTAAGCATTACTATTACAACGAGCTTCCGGATTTCCGATGGTCCTCATCTGGAGGTTCTTCACCGCCGAAGCCTATCGAGAGGCTTCCGAGGAACGTGTTACCAAACAGTTACGACATCATCCTCAAGCCGTACCTGGACAGCGGCCGCTTCGAAGGGCTAGTGAACATAAGTTTAGGTGTTAGTGAGGCTACGGACAGAGTGATCCTGAACAGTAAAGCTCTGAAGATTGGTTCGGTCAACTTGTACAACTCGAGCGGATCGGCTTTAGATGTGCAGGACATCATCGCCGATGAGTACGAAGAGAAGTTGAGCATCGTATCCAAGAGTCTGTTGGATTTAGGAGAGTACAGTTTGTCCATCAGCTTCACTGGAACTTTGCTCAACAAAACGAGCGGTTTTTACATGAGCCGCTACAAAGCGGATGACGGAACTGTTAGGTAAAAAAAAAACTTTAGTTCTTTGAACCACTTAAATTACAACTATTATACCAACAACTATTAAAAACAAGAATCTAGTTCTTCACTGACGCAATGAAAACAATGTGATATAAACGTTAAGATTTTGCAAATATAACAAGAATTTTCAGTTTACCGTTTCGGAAAAAACAAGAAAATCCAATTAATACCGAATGTAAGACAAACTACGTTAAAACTTTACAAGAAACAACTAACAATCAGTTTACCGTTTTTGGAAAAATATCAAGGAGTGACGCAATTAAAACCCAATATGACACAAAGTACGCTCTTTCTTTCGCATCACCTTGGGTTTTCTAGGCTTCGAAAGAAACTCGCTCCTCGAATGCTAAGTAGCTTAGGTTAAGTAAAGGTACTTATTATACAACCTCTTGCGTTTCGCTTTATCGCTTTTCTTTTCATTTTCTTTTTCTTGTAATAATTACCAACCGTGAAAACTAATTACCATCGAACCTTGAAGCGTTTGTTTTCTGTTTTTTTTTCTCTCTTTATCGACATTTTATTACAGTTTATCATTGAATCAAGAAACAATAATTATTAATACAACTATTATTTTCACTCCATTGTACGTTTTATTAATAATTTTTTTATTTCTTTTGTTAAATCATTAAATTTTTGACTCTTAGAAAAATGATTTAAGTTTCATTAATCACTATTTTCTTAACATTATTCACAGCTGATTATCTAAATATAAAAATACAGCAAAGTATTGCTAATCAATATCTAGCACTGTTTGAAACCGCACTAATCGAAGTAGTGAGGGGTATTATTATCATATATCACTGAAAGAACAAAGGAATACTATTAATGAAATTGTATTTTGTTTACTGATTGTTGTATTCTATAAATAATCAATGAAATCAATTCATTTTTAAAATTTAACAAGAATAAATTGTTTGAGTCAATGACTCTTTGAAAGGTGATTTAATTTTGTGTTAATCACTCTAGAAAGTAAAACTACTTTCCTTACATTATTCATAGCTTCATTATATGAAGCAAATACAGTAAATTTTCAACAAAACATTAGTAATTCTTGACAAACACTAAAACTTACTATTAGTTTATTAATATTAGTTTCTTTACATTATTATTATTAACTCTTGATTATATGTAGCAAAAGTATTGAATAAAAGGAATTATTAAAAAAACATTAAAAATTATGACATTAATTAAGAATTAACTAGGAAATACTTTCATGAATCTCTCCATTATATAATTATAAATTTAACGCCAAAGAAATCGAATCTACTAATTCTTAATAATATAAATTTCTTTACATTATGATTATCTGTAGCTAAAGAAACCGTAAAAACCCTAACATTAGTCAATGAAAAACTTTCACAAAATTACATAATTCTAAATTAATATCAGAAATAAATTGAGTCTACAATAATAAAGACAATTACTAATTCCTCAAAATCTGATTTTTTTAAATATTCATATTTGTATACAAATTACTTATTTTCTCTTGACAAACACTAAAAACCATAGATAAAAACAAAGTATTGGAAACTACACAATATTATTCAATTCACGAGAAATTAATATTGTCTTAGAATTATAATCTTAAAATCTTAAAATATAATATAGGAATGTTGTTTCACTATAAGAAATTATCAAGAAATTATTAAAATTCTTCCAATTAAGAAAACTATATGACATTTGCATAAGTTGTGGAATTCCTAAAAACCCGTTTCTAAATGTGCGTTTTGATTTATATATTTGTTTTGTTAATCGCTCTGAATTTCTCCTCTTTTACGATTTGACCTTTCAGGTTTCGTCTAATTCGAAGAATACTTTCTTATACCTTCAAAATCATATTCAAAATTTCTACGTTTAAACCTTTTTCTTTATTACTGATAACAACTTTGTAACTAACTTGTTTCATAATAAGAAACCAAACAATTTTTCCATAATAACAATGAAGAAATTTGAAAGTTTGCATAATTGTAATTGAATTTATTTTTGTAATTACCATTAATTTGAATTTTATTACTTTATAATAATTAATCTGAAGATGTTTGTAATTAAAATAATTAAACAATTCTCTTATGAATAAGTCATTATTGTCAATAATGAATGGTAAAATAAAAAATTGACTAGAAAATTGTGATAAAATTATCGTAGAAGATAAATTTTCTTACATTATAAGTTACTTCTCTGTATTTTCTTATCGACATCATTAATTAGAATTTTATCATATCTACTTTAATTGAGTGTCAATGTATAGTTTAAATAATGAATTATGAGAAAAAACAAATGTTTATCAATATCATAATTCATCATATGTATTTAATATAATCTAATGTATAATAGAAATTATATACGTGAAATTTGTAAACAAAACTTTGACATATAATTTTCATGGTAACTAATGACAACTGAAAAAACAGCATACAGGATGATTAGAATCAACAAATAATCATGTATTAACAGTCAATGTTGCCATGACAACTGAAATAATAATCTAATGTGTCAAAGAAGTTATATACATAAAAGTTGTAAAAATAATATAAAATTTTTACATTGGAACTTAATTTCTGGATATGCTTAACAATAATATTAATTAACTACTAAAAAATCTGCATTAATTTATCGTCGATTTTGTAGATTTTAGTAAATTCAATTTGAGATTATTAATTAATTATTTTGTGTATACTGATACAATTAAATGTGGTGTCATAAAAGATACGTTACGATTACATTTTTGTTTCTATAGTAACAATAATGCATTTGTTTATGTTTTGTTACCTTGGATATATGATATTAACATCATTGTATTTGTTTTAGGTCCATTGCGACGACGAAATTTGAGCCAACGTATGCCCGTCAGGCCTTCCCATGCTTCGATGAGCCAAACATGAAGGCCAACTTCACAGTCCACTTGCTCAAGCCGAAAGAGAGCGAGTACATCGCCTTGTCCAACATGCCAGAAGATGTAAGACACAAAAATTCAATCGATTGTTTATAGTCACGACCGTGTAAACAAAAGCTTAAAATTAGTAGGCACATCGAATACACGATTGTTTCTTTAATAATTTTGTATGCAAGGTGACAAATTCTATACCTACTAAGGACATACAATACATTCATATGTTAATGTATGAAAAGATACAAATTGTTTAAAGCAAATTTGAAACTAGTCCTAATATTTCATCACTTCAATTATTTTAAAAATCATAAGTATAACTTTAACTGTCAACTTTGACTGTTACTTGTCATGGTAATATTAATGAAATGTCAATATATTTTTCATGGTAACTTATGACAAGCTAGAAACAAAAGATGTATAGCAAATCTTTAATCATCCACAATTATTTTTGATACTATTCAGGAATATTTTTTATGAACTTTGACATATATTTTTCATGGTAACTAATGACAACTGGATAACAAGATACATTTATAGCAATTTATAACAAATATTTGATCATCATGTCATGGTGATGACAACGGAATAAGAGGATTCATTTATATAGCAAATCTTGTGACAACTGTCAAAGTTGACATATACTTTTTATGGTGACTTACAAGAACTGAAATGACTGAGTCATAATTGAATCGTAATAATAGTGTTATATGAGATAAGTAATAAAATGAACTATTGTAGGGAGATCCAGTTGATGTTGAGGATGGAGTGATGGTGCATTTCAAGGAAAGCGTGAAAATGTCCACCTATTTAGCTTGCTTCATAGTGAGCGACTTTAAGAGTACTAATGACGAGATTATGTCTAGTCATGGAAACATTCCATTCAGGGTGTTCGCTACTCCTGCTCAACTGGAGAAGACCAATTACGCCCGTGTGACTGGAAAGAAGATCATGGAATTCTACCTGGACTACTTCAACATCAAATATCCACTCCCAAAATTAGGTATAGATTGCTTCAGTTTTCTTTAGTTACAATTCGTAATTCGTTGATTATTACAGATATGGTTGCTATTCCCGATTTTGTCTCTGGGGCTATGGAGCATTGGGGTTTGGTCACCTATAGAGAAACTGCTTTGCTCTTCGACAAGAACATCAGTTCTTCTAATAACCAGCAAAGAGTTGCAACAGTTGTAGCTCACGAGTTGGCTCATAGTTGGTTCGGAAATTTGGGTAATTATAATTTATTTGTTCAGAGATTTGAACTGAATTTAATGCATTTGCAGTGACGATGAATTGGTGGAACGATCTTTGGTTAAACGAAGGTTTCGCTTCATACATCGAGTATAAAGGAGTGAACGCTGCTGAACCCGATTGGGGAATGGTATTATTTTTATAATAATCTTCATCTATCAAGTACTAATTTCTTGCTTTTTTTAGATGGATCAATTCATCGTCGATGACCTCCACGCTGTTCTTAAGCTAGACGCGACTATGGCTTCTCATCCCATTGTTCAAACTGTGGAGACTCCGGATCAGATCACCGAAATCTTCGACACAATTTCTTACAATAAAGGAGCTTCTGTCCTTCGGATGTTGGAAAACGCGGTGACGGAATCAATTTTCCAAAAGGGTGTCACCATGTACTTGAACAAACATGCTTATGGTAATGCCGTCACGCAGGATCTTCTCAACGAACTTCAGTCATTAAGCGAAGACGGTGTTGATATTACTGAGTTCATGAACACCTGGACCGTCCAGAAGGGTTATCCCATCGTGACAGTTTCCAAAACCCAAACAGGTTTCAGGTTGACCCAGAAGAGGTTCTTGGCTGACCCAGATAAAGATGATTCAGCTTCCGGCAACGTCGCTTACGGGTATAAACTATAAGGTTTTTCGTCTTTATTAGATTCTAAATGTTGTTTTTCCAGATACAAATGGACCATTCCAATCACTTACATCACCGATAAGAACAACGAATCTAAATTGGTTTGGTTCAAACACACCGATTCGCACGGTATTTTTGTTTTTCTTAAATATTTTTTTCAACTTTTTTCAATTTTTATAATTTACAGTTGATATTGATGCTGGAGACGCCGATTGGGTTAAATTCAACGACCATCAAGTCGGTTACTACAGGGTCAACTACGAAGACGAAGATTGGATGAAGCTGATCAAGAACATTCGTAACTTGGATGTTTCCAATAGGGCTCACCTCTTCGAAGAGACCTTCAGCATTGCCGAATCTGGTCAATTGCCTTACAGGATTCCTTTGGATCTCACCAAATCTTTGGTGGAGGAAAGGGATTACGTGCCGTGGGTTGCCGCATCTAACGCTCTGGACAAGATCAAGGATTACTTGATCAGTTCCGACGTCTATTCCAACTATAAGGTATAACATAAAGTTTCCATCCACAAGATTATCACTATTTCCTTATTATTTCAGACGTACATAATCAACACTGTCAGCAAAGCTTACGAACATTTCACTTGGGTGGAAAAACCAGATGAAGGTCATCTCTTCAAGTAATTTTTTTAAAACTTAATTAATTCTTGAAAATTAACGTTATTTTCTGTTGTTAGGAGGGCCAGGGTTGTTGTTTTGGATTTAGCCTGTACTATGGGTCACGCGGATTGCCTGAAAGAGGCGAAGAAGCACTTCGATGATTGGCTGCAAGGAACCATAAACTTCTCTCAAGATTTGCGCGGATTGGTTTACAGTTTCGGAATGGAATCTGCGAGCGCTGAAGAGTGGGAGAAAGTGTGGGAGAAGTTCGTCAACGAGATCGACGCAGGCGAAAAGATCCGATTGATGAACGGTCTGGCTTCCACCAAAGAACCGACTCTTCTCATCAAGTCTGTATTTCTATAATTAAATTGATTATTTGATTGTAGCAAGATTTGTTTTTTTGATTGTAGATTGATTGAACTTGCCAAAGACGATACTTACATCAGGAAGCAGGATTACTTTTCGTTGTTATCTTCAATTTCTTCTAATCCTCTTGGTACCAGCATCGTCTGGGATTATGTCAGGTAACGAATTACCATTAATTTTTTAATTTAAACAATTAATAACTTCAATTAATTCCAGAGAGAATTGGCTAGTTTTGGTGAATCGCTTCGGCTTGAACGACAGATATTTGGGTAGACTTATTCCGAGCATCACCCAGAGATTCTCAAGCACTGTGAAGATGGAAGAGGTTTGTAATTTCAAATCTATTACCACAATTTTCAAATTTATTACCAAAATTTTCAAATTTCAAAATTTTCATTACTTAATTTATGGTTTTTTTTGTGTAGATGGAAGCTTTCTTTGCCAAATATCCTAACGCCGGTGCTGGAGAGTCGGCCAGGAAGCAGGCTCTGGAAACAGTATCCAACAACATCAAATGGTTGGAGGAGAACAAGAAGTCTGTGGAGGATTGGATCAAGGCCAACTAAATTAAATTAAATAGATAGATATTTTGTATATATTATAAAGAATGAATGAAAGAAAGAAATGAAGAAAATAATGAAACCTGTGATTCAACATTAAATCGTGCCTCTATTTTTTTTATAAATTAATTATCATATGCTAAATTTCAATGAAATAATTTGAATTTAAAGAAAATTATAGCAAGAAAAAATCATTAGTTCTGTTAATAGAAAGAAAAGGTATGTATTTTTTATTATTAACAATCATTATACAAATAAAGATTAATTTAAATACTATTTTAAGTACAAATTTTGTTTTTTTTATTGATGTTAATATTTTACTAAATAATTCGTCTCCCCTTGTTACCTTAGATAATCATTCCATTTTCCCTTCACCACTTGTTAAATACCTTGGAATCCTTCTTGATCCTAAACTCAACATCAATTCCCAATCCAAACAACTCAAATCCAAACTTTCCTTAACCTTCTGAAATATCCATACAGTGTTAAACATCCATTTTCCGTTCAATCCTTGATGATGGTTTCCCTCTACTTTCAAAATGCCGAAATCCCGCATCTGTCCGTATCCGAACGTTCCGTCTCTTCATATCCTCACCAAAATACGACATCCTAAGAATCCTCTGCACAATCCTTCTAATGGTCTCCTTTACTCCAAAACCAAAATAGTTTCTCTCCTTTATCGATACCTTTCCATCTCCGTGAAATTTAAATCAAAAAAATCCAACATCGCCGACCTCTCCAAATTTATCAAAAACCCATAAACAGCACGAAGATGCCAGTAGGCTCATTTGAAAGGTGAGATATTCAGCTTTCATACAAATGGTCGATGATGTAATTATCTTAACGTGTTGTCGAGAAATTCACGAAAAACTGAAAAAAAAAAATGGGAAAAACGTCGGTTTTCTGTTACGTAACGAACATTACGTAACTTTTTGTTACATAAAAAGTTGCGCAACGCTTGCGTGCATCTGATTATACAATAAAATCATAAAAAAGTTTATTACTTTTCGAGTTATTATCGAAAAACTGAAAACATCCATTTTTTGGAAAATTCAATTCATTTTTTTCCAATTTCTAAAGCTCATAGCAGGCGACTCGGCGGCAGTACGAAAATGCCAGTAGGCTCATTGGAAAGGTGAGATATTTAGCTTTCATACGAGTGATCGATAATACGATTATCTTAAGGAGTTGTCGAGAAATTCACTTCAATTCAATTCGAAAAACTGAAAAAAAAATAGAAAAAAACGTTGCTTGTTGTTTATCAAAAAACCATAAAGATATTTTCAATTTATTGAAAACCCATAAAAATATTTTCATATTTTCAAGATTTTTCGATTATTTTAAAATTTTAATTGATTTTTTAGCAAATTACAGGGAAAAAAAATATGAATATTTAATGAATTGTTAAGAAAACTGCACTTTTGTTCGAATTGAGTATAATTCTGTTTGTTATTAAGAATTGGTCGTTATGGAACGTTGAGCAATGTTGTGCAATCATGTATTTTTTTGAGCGTTGGATGCAGGAAATGCAACACCCTGTGTGCCCTTAAAATATGTGAGTGCGTGTATGTATTAACCGTAACGCTTTATGTGTTGCGTTGACATGCGCTTATGCTAAATGTAGGTGGGCGGCTGGATCGATACGGCCGGTGCATATTGCACTTGTATCGAGTGTCCCAGGGTCATTATTGGCCCATCAATATCCGTCGACGGAAATAGCTTGTGGCAGTCTCCAATCTCTTGGACAGACAAAAACCAAGTGGGGACAAATCGACCAGAAGGTATTTTAAGTGTTCATAAATACTAAGCAAGATGCATGATTGTACCCAAAAATAAGACACATACACCACAAACAACAACAACCAAAAAAATATTTTGTTCAAAATTAATTTAAAAATAAATTAAATAATAATCAGAAAATTTATAATAATTATTCAATT